CAAGTTCTGCAGGTTCTCAGCTTCCCGAGGATTTAACCCATAGACAAGAGTGCTAGGAATCCTTATTCCCTAGGATGGCCTGAGCTTTGCCTTGAGTATGTGGATATGTGAACTTCAACACCACCTGTATTCTTCTTGAACATAAGAACCCAACTTAAATGGTCCTGCATGCCGAGTCCCCAGAGACCTAGTTGCATTGCATGCCATAACAGAACCCTCCCCTGATTTTAGACAGGTACAGGGAGGGTGAGAAGAGATGCCCTTTCTTTTTCCTCACTGCACCACCTCAGAGCAGCTTATTTCAGCACAAATTGAGGATTTCTTTTTCCTTTAATCTTCAACGAGCAGCACATGCTGCTGCACTCTGAAACAAAACTAGAATTTCAGAAATCCCCCAGCACACCACACACTGCAGCCCATCCAGAACTTGTGCAGTGTCTGGTATGAAGCCAGTGGGTATTCAACACAAAAAGGCTGAGTCTCGAAAGCAGCATGTGGAGGATTCAGCAAGCAGCTCTCATTAATGCCATTAGCAGCCTGGCTACTGAGCCTTCACACCTCTTTAAAGATGTTTCCTATGTCTTTAATAGACATTTGCACAAATCTACTCTGAAGCTGAGACCAAGCAGGCAAAACTTTTAGCTGGAGAAAAGAAAAGAAGTCTGAGCTGTTAGAAAGCTGGCCCTTTCCCAGAACACGGCATCTGGCCACCAGCTGTGTTTAGAGGACAGCAGGCAGAAGGAACAGATCACGGGAAAATCTGAGAAACAAGTAGACAGTGCTGACTTTTGTCGTGAAAATAATACCAGCCTTACTCTGTGATGTCCAAAACCTTTGCCCTCCTACATTTCCCATCCTTTTCTCTTCCCAGCTCTCAAGGCAATTATTGGAAAACCGCCCATTCAGGAGAACACAGATATTCTTTCTGGGCTTGGGAAAGCATCCAGTAGGGCTCTAGAGTAAAAAGAAAACCAACCCTGGGAAGTGTGGCAACTGGAAGAATGTGAGGCAAAGTGAGGAAATTCTGGAAACTAAGGAAGGACCTCGTGGAGAGGCAGAAGGAAAAGATCTTCCATGAGGCAGGGGCAGAATGCCCGCAAGTCCTCCAATACTACAGCACTGAATTAGTATAAAAAAGACAGATGGAAAGGAACCAAAAGAGCTCTTCACTCATTAAAGGCGGGAAAGTTATGATTAAAGAAGAAAATCACAAGTTTTTCTAAGGATGTTGTATTTTTTTCCATTTCACCTAGGTTGGAGCTAATACCGTCCCTCAAGATTTGTAACTTACTACAACTCATACAAAGACTAAAGAAGCAGAAGGTGTTTTATTTTCCAAGATGGTAACACCACCTCTCTAAAAAATGCTAATAAAAAGCTCTGCTGGAAAGAGCCTTATCTGATAGGCATGGTATTCATGGGCACCCACTGAAACTCACACTGCTTTTTAGATTAAACCGACAACAGAGACAGTCCTCCCCCTAGCCCCAGATTAATGGAATGAAGAATCCATGCATGAAGCCACATACAATAAAGCTTGGAGATTATGAAACAGGCTAGAAGAGAGGATCAGAATTGCAACTGATCTTGATGAAGTGGGGAAATTGCCCCAATTAAAGCAGAACAAATTTAATAAAGACAAGTTGAAAGTGTTATACCGCGGAAGGTGCAGTAAACTAATGCACAAATCAAAATGGGAACTCCTGGGAAAGCAGCAGCGAATCACTCAGGAATTATAAGAGAAGACAAACTAGATCAAAGTCAGCCATGGGGTGTCCTTGTAGGAAGTATTCCAGGATATATTTTCTATATGCTTTATATAAACCACAGGAGACAGTTAAAGCTGCTTTGCTTGCTACTGTATAAAAACCCTTGCTGGAGTGCTGTGTTTTGGGGAAACCGGGGAGTAATGAAAGGAATGACAGCAAAAATTAGAGACATGGAAAATAACAGCAAAAGAACTAGAAAAGATTATATCAGGGAGGAAAGTAGGATGATTAATCTAATACGTAAAGTAAGCTTATAAGAAGATCCTGTAAGATCATCCCTTCTCCCTTTCAATCAGGGCTTGAAGGAAAAGTGGCTCTATTTGCAGTAAATTGCAGTTTCTTAGGAAAACCTGGTTATGAGGGAGGTGAAGGACATGGATCCCTGTTATCCCTGTGTGCAAGCTGCACACTATCTGGCATGGAATTGAAAGTTAACGGTTCTTTTTTTCTTTAGGTCCCCTTTAGCTATACATCTGTGACTTCGGGATTACCAGAGTTTTGAAGGCCTAAAGTTACTCCTTTATAAATCAATAGCTGCAATCCCTGCCTGTAACAGCTTTGAACGATAGCTTCTAGGGGCTTGTTCTCTCCTACCATTTGCCAGACACCAATAAAGCAGATCTCACAGCACCACTGGGTGCCACGATTTCTGTTGTGCTCAGCAATCCATATTCACAAGGACCCAAAGGAGCAAAGGGATACGGGAGTGCTTGGGCTGGTGCTGGCAGGCTTGTACAGTGTGTGGTTGGAGGCATCTGCACTCTGCTGCTAGAGCCTTTGGCTTGTGTTGGCCTTTGAGTGCCCAAACATAGTGACCACTCAGTTCACGTACAGCCAAGAGATATTAAGGTCTTTATCTCTGAATGAAAAACAGTGAATGTCACCACGGATACTCTCAACTCATCAGAACAACTTGTACAGTTATCAGTGTTCCCTTCCTAATGGGTTCCAGGCAGGTTCATTCAAATGCTCAAAAGACATCACTTTCAAAGGGGCGGGCTGTATGCACAGGACTCTACATCCCTGTACCAAAACATAGTATTTGAGTTAGAAAGAGGGGTACAGCACCTGTGTATAGTGTTTGATGCCAGATTGATATATATATATGTATACCTGTGGGCATGTTGCCTAGAAAAAACTATTTTGCCTATGGATATACACATACACAACTCCTGATGGTTTTGTTGGGCAGTACATGTGTACCCAAGAGAAGAATTTTAGTATCATGATTATTGTTTGGAAAACTTTGCTATTTTAAACCATGAAGCTGTGGGGTGAGGTCTGCTTCTATCCAGTTAGCACTGGCATGGAAAGATGGGTTTCCATAGAAAAGGACACACACCAAATGACAGCAAGCACCCCTGCATGTTCCTCTGCGTCAACCATGGTCTTGCCTCGCTAGGATCACAATGTTCACACAGAAGTTGCCATTACCCAAATGTTCCAGACAGCATCTTGTGTGAACATCTACTATATGCAGGGGGGGGGGGGGGAAAGGTCTAATTGACTGACATGCTGAGTCTCTGTGACATTAGTGGCAGTTTAGACATTTTTTAATGTGTTGCAGAAGATGCAGAGGCTTTAAAAGACCAAGCACACAGGAGGATTTACACCTCAGATTCATAAACCAGCTTCCTACCGTGTTGGTAGCTAGAGCCAAAACTGTGTTCACTGAGAATCCAAAAGCTACCAACATGGAAGAGCACTCAATGTAGATAACTCAACAAAAGAACAAGAGGTTAACATGCACTGTCAAAATAAAACTTCTAAAGTTTGTGAACTGGGCACAGTTTCTGAACAGCATCCTAGAAAATAAATACATTAATGTCAATTTGGCTTGGAGAAGGCAATCTCTTTGCCTACTTCTTGCTATGGTTTTCAGAGACACAGCATCAGGGACGTTGTGGCACGTAGCAGATTTGCTTTGCTAACAGTATGCTGCAAAATAAACAAAGCTTTAACATTAAATCACACCTCCCATCCCACCCCACCAACCCCTGCACTGTAGATAACCTATACATTCTCAGGATACAGTGAGAAATCATTCTATCAGACATATTTAATTATAACTTAAAAAAGTCTAACTCAGACAATCTCCGGCCAGTAGCAAAGTATCAACACATAACTGAAGTAAAGATCTGTTATTATCACTTCACTGTAACAAACAGAAATCATCACCTCCAGAAGGGTCTCCAGGGGTATTGTATCACAACCAGTCGCACCAAATGAAAAAATGTGCTAATTTCACAAATGAAGTTTGACAAGAAGTAACACTGCATTTGTCTTGGCAAAACGAAGCACGAACGTAACATCTCACAGGTACAGTTACCATGCAAATGCATGTTGAGTTTGTCATTGTTTTCAATCCCAAATCATGAGTATCATGCAGTTCTCCTGCCCCCCCCACCCCCACCCCCCAACTACTGTATTAGAGATAGTCTGGGTAATGTACCTCTGTGGTGTAATCGTAGCCTGTTAGGCAAGATTATACCACCCTAGGAAAGAATGCAAGCAAAACTTGATCATATGTATGTTTACACAATGTACATTTTTACCATTTAAAAAACCAAAACATGTTACATAGATCCTCAAACACAGCTCTGTTGAAAATTAAATTTTAAGCTTAAGAAATCATTTTTAAACTACAAGGCCACCCCGTTATTTTTTATGAACAATTTAAAAAGTTCCCACCCCTAAAAATCTGTCAGTATATTCCCTCAGCTGCAACAGGCTTACCCACTCTCTAATACAGTTGATCTTTGCTTGACAGCAGTAACAGTTCTTACATTTCTTAAATTCATGAGATAATGGTTTCCGGGATAGATATAGTTCTTAAGTATGTAACACAGGAACAAATCTGCCTTAAGTGATCAATTGGTCAATTCTGGTGTTCCCCGGCACCACCGCTCAGTCAGGGGCTTCTGGTGTTCACCGAGTTCTGGCTTTTGTTGGCATCAAGCTCCACAACCACATGTATGTGCGTGTGTGTGTGTCTTTGTGTTCAGAAATTCAGTACAACAGCAATTCACTGGATACACCGGTACCCTGTTTGCTCAAAAACATGGAGGAGCTTTTGTCTTCCACACTCCCTCATCCAGACGGGACCGCGGCCCCTGCGCAGCACCTTTGGCCAACACGGAACTATTTGGATGCAAAGTAGAATTTTTTTAATTGCTTTTTTCGTAGTCGTTTAAGCAACTGCAATGGGTTTAGGCAACTGCCACAGCAGACTTAACTTGCAGGGTCTTTATTAGAGCGTTACCGTCTTCCACAGCTTTACACAATGGAGCCCTTTGAAGAAGACAAATGGATTGACTGAATCCTTGTGGCCAACGTCCTCTGTAAGTCCTGTAGTACATTTTGACCAGACGTTTCTCCATTCTTGTCATACAACAGCTGTTTGAACGCTTCGTTTTCAATGAGGACCATCATATTTTTTAGAAAGTAGCCTTCACAATAGGAAGATAGTTCTGTGACTCCGAGAAACTACAAGAAGTGAAATTAGAGAAAGATAAACCCGCTCAGCAAATACAGTGCACAAGAGCTGCATACAAACAAACACACAAGCTAAGCCTTGCAGACAGGCAGAGTAATGCTTACACATGTATGTCTGGGAAAACGTACTACAGACCAAGTTTCATGAATGCCATCCTTAGTAAGGATGGGACATATGACTGCAGAAACCTCTCAGGCAGAGTTTCTTGCTTCAAGAAATCTTTAGAGGGGAAATGGAGGTTTGTAGAGCACATGTAGAGCAAACCTTAAATGTGTGAGTGAAAATGTATGAGCAAACCTTAAATGGCCCACGCTGGTCATTTGATGGGTGACCTGTATTGGTCACAGAATCATAGAATGGTTTGGATTGGAAAGGACTTCAAAACTCATCCAGTTCCAAACCCCTGCCATGGGCAGGGACACCTTCCACTAGACCACGTTGCTCAAATCTGTAGATCCTGTGGTCATACAAAGAGTATAGCCACGATATGCCACTATAGCTGTAATTATAAGCATACAAATACAGAGAGTAGTGCTCAGCCTACCCTCCTACCCAAGTAAGCTCCTGCAAAGTCTGAGCTCTGAGTAAAGAGTCTCTAGACCAACCTGTCTGCACATCTCCTTCTGGAAGGGCAGGTCTCAGCACCACCTGAGTGCCTGCAGATGCAGCTGAGCTTGTAAAGACTAGAAACGGTGCCTACAGCAGGAGCAAGATACTTAAAACCTGCTCCTGGCTGATGTGGTGGTTCCTGGCTTCAGTGCCTGCTCACCTTATTCGCAGCCTAACTGCTGTCTAACACGAGTTTCTTCCATGCTTCAGAGAGCAACATGGAAAAGCAGACAGCTGGCTGGCAAGCTGCACTTAAAACTGCGTGTGAGCTCCTCTGGCTCATCACAACCATCTGGCCTCTTCCACCACATACCATTATCTCATATTCACATAATAACCAAATGAAGCTACTGTGTGACAGGAGCACTCTGGGCAGAACAATCTGTGCTCAGACTAATCACCTGCACATCACACAGACAGGGAACCAAAAGATGGAGTGCCTTCTCTTCTCTGCAGACAGCATAATAGAGAGGTATCCGAACTAGCTTTAAATGTGTGGGTTCAGGTCCTGGACACCTAGCTATAGCAGTATGAAGCTTAGCCCATGTAATATACTGGAAGCAAGGTAAACTAGCCCATGCAGAGCTCTAGGGTGATGTGGCTTAATGAAGTCAAGATTTCATTCACAGCTGGCTTGGCTGTCTCGGCAATGCGCAACCCACATCAGTGCTAACATGACCCCGGCCATGAAAGCCTCTCAAGGACACCATTTCTACTGCCACCACTGGAAGATGCAGGCAAAAAAACCTTGCAGGCTGGGGCCCTTGCAGGCAAACAAGGAGCTGGATTTAATCACTGGGTTTGTTCAGTCCCATCACCAGTGGTATTCAAGTCCCTTAGACAGGTATAAAGTTCCATGTAAGAACTTTCTTCAATCAGAATGTAATAACAGCTACATTTCACAATTCAAAGAAAACATGTGATTTTAAACCAAAATCATTCTTTTACTTTTAGTAACTAATAAAAACTGAGAAGCTCCTACATGAGCTAGAAGATAAATCAGGTATTTTTCAAAAGATTCTTGCACTGCTGATTTTATTTTTCTATTACAATAAATGGATCTGCAGATAAAACTCATTTCTTATTCATTTTATAGGTGGAACTTTATGCTATTTCAAACACTGATTGCATGTTATCTGTACATCAAGACTTAACATTACTACTTTCTGTAAGAAATACCTGATAATGTGAATAGAGGTCTGCAGGGGTTTGGAGCAATCTGCAGGATTATTGTCTTCAATCAAACCTCCATGTCATGCTGCACCATTTTATCATTCGTATAGACCATGTAAGTTTAGAAAAATAATCTAAGGAATGCTCTAAAAATATTTTGTCACAACTATTTGTGTATTGTTTTCGTCTTCTGAATGAAAGTCTTAACTACTAAGTACACAAAAGGAGGAGAAAAACCTGAAACTAATCAATGTGGCAACCACCTCCATCAATGAGCAAAAATAGGTTTTCCAGGTCAAAAAATGCCATGCTTTTATGCCTAATGGCTTAGGCCCCCTCACAAGCTAAGTAAATAATTTGATTCCAGTTAGGAAGCTGCAAATCTCTCTGAGACACAAAATTCTTGTTACCATCCATGCATGGCTCTGAGACGTACTTTGACAGCATGGCATTTTTATATATTGACAAGCTGTCACCAGCATGGAGTATATCACCCCAGTGGGCTTCACGCAGGAGGGAAAGAGGAGTTGTAACAGAACCATGTGGCTTGGAAGGTGAAAGAGAGGTGTCTTACTCACTTAGGTGATTCCTGTTGAATAACGCAGCAGTTTGGGTTGCCATGACAAGGGATAGATCTGCCACACGGTGGTACACTCAAATTGAATTTGAACCGCATAGGGAAGGAGGTGAGAAGTTGCCACTGATGCTCTTACACTACATGATTTAGGACTGTCACTATACTAGGTACCTACTGGCCACTCAGTCACAGTAAATGAATGACAAATCTTAGATACATAAAAACATACTAAGCATACAATATATGTATGTATCACCACTTATCTTACCAGTGACCTATGGATATGAGGACAGACACATAACATGCAAGCATATGCAGTTATTTTTACCTTGGCATGATTATAAATATCCACACAGTTTTCTGTATTAATGCTTTTTGCACAAATGATCTCACAGTGTCGTTGTAAAGCTTCAAGCTGGAAAAATTTAGCAGCAGAGAGAAGCTAAAAAAAAAAAGAAGGGAAAAAAACCAGTCAAAACTGCTGAGCGATACAGAATCAGAGCTTGCTTCTTTACTGTTTCATTATATTTCTTTCTCTGCCCCTACTTCAGTTAGCATGAAAGTACTGACAGTCAGAATGAGAAGGTTGCTTGGTTGCTTCAACCCTTTGCAGTCTCCTCTAGATCGCACTGGGGGAAGCTGTCCATGGGAAGAACACCACAGGCTGCTCAGACCCATGTGCTAACTTTGGAATAGGGGCAGTGGTGGGGGGAAAGAGAAAAACGAAACGGCAGCTTGGAGAGTCTCTGGTCACTTTGAATCATGACTTGGCAAGGAGAGATCTGCAATTACATTCCAGGGAAAAAAAACCCAGTTCAACCGTTCCCCAAGCTGTAGCTGAAACACGGCACCTGGGCTGGGTATGGGGATTTCAGCAGAAGGACCAGGACAAGAGGACAGAGGAATTCAAACCAGATGATGATGACCACTCTGAGCAGACTTAAAAGTCTAGAGTGGCAATAAACTTCAAATCTGTCACCTCAGCAGGCTCAAGGAAGTGGAATCAGATCTCCACATGCGCCTTGCTCTAGCTTGTGAGCAGCAGTAAGGTCACGTCTAGGCCATGGCCACTAAAACACTGGCTGACTCCACATTACTCCAAGGAGTGGGTGCACAGTGGGATACAGTGCAAAGGTGGAACCAGCTTGGTGCAAGGCAGTGCCTAGTTAACACTCGTGTTAGTGTCATGTCTATATCGCTGTACTACCATGACTCTCCTGCCATCAGGACTCAAGCTGACCTCCCTCTTCATCCCTGCATCCACCCTATGGATATACTACCTGGATTGGTACTGCCTTGGGATCTATGGGCATGACCTGAACCCGTGGCGTGAAAATAGCTTGAATTTTGATTTCTCCAACTGATTCCAGTAGTGCCAAGGTTTCTGCTATTGCTCCATTTCTGTCCTTTCACAGCAAGGAAAAAGGATTTCATTTTTTGTCTTTCCATGTTAGGTCATTGCCTCTTGCTCCCTGCTCTGGTTTAGAAAGCAGGGGTTCTTCGTTGTTGACACCTTGCTCTAATCTAGCCAGGTCTCTTAGGCCAAGCTTTTCAGGTGTTTAGGCATTTATATGGCCCTTCCCATCAATAACTGCATGACAAAAAGCTATCCTGTGAATCCCAAAAGGGCTTTCATGCCACTAGGTAGAAGCACTGGGGAACAAACCCCTGAAACTTCTGTGACATTACTCTAACTTCTCCTATGCAGTCTGCTTGAGCTCTGCTTTAATCCCATAAATAAATCCAAGTGTTCAAAATCTGCAGCGCTGATGTGACAGCAGCCAGCTGGCCCCAATTATGAATTGCAGCAAAGATTTCTGTGGAGTATTTCTGGTGCTTCTTGTTATCTTATTTGTAATAAGGCAAGTTGCTAAATGCAGTTTTGAAAGATAAAGCCAAATCCTATTCCAGCTGTCTCTGTGGCTCAAGCAGTCACGTGCTGGTTTGCAATTACTGTAAACTGTGAGGAACCGTGGCTAGATTTGTTATCAACAGATCAATCAATCAGTCATACATTCTTGAGTCACAGAAGTTTTGAGATGTCACAAAAGTAGAGCAAGCTGCCAGCTGAACTGCAGCACAAGCTTTTTTAACAGTCTAGGTGGTAACACAGGCATCTCTATAAAGCTGTTGCACTGCCTCGTCTACGACTCCTTATTCCAGGGAGGGTAAGAAATTCAGGAGCTTCTGTCAAAACTACAAGTGAAATCGTACGAGATTTCATGCAAGGTATGAGAATCAGTGACCTTGTCCTATAAAGATCAGAAAGTCAGTGTGGGTATGCTTAGTTGAAAATCCACCACCTGCCCCAGAAAGGGGTAATTTCAGTCCCGACCAGTTCCATCCTCTGACTGCCAGGAGGGCTGGTACGGATGTCCCTGTACCCATCAGAATTGATTCACCCTGGCCACTTGTACCCCAAAGAGTTGCTCCCAATCTGTGGTTAGCAGTACTTTGGTAAAAGCCAAGTGTTGCATAGATGCCCCAGGCAACAGTGTCACAGGGACAGGCTAACTAATGTAAGCAACAATAAAACATCGTGGTAGACTATAATCTGTACACTAGCTGTTCAAGATTTTAGTATTTACTGTCCTGCATTATTTTTGGCTGCCATAATTTGGTGACTGTCAACAGGAAAACTCCCTCAATGGCTATCAAGAATTTTCTCTAATATCTCTTAGTTCAATTTAGTTGAGGTCCTTAGGTTGATCATAGCTGGCAATGACAGCATACAGTATTTGGAAGAGGATGACTTAACATCCGTAGAGGTTGCGGATGTGTGGCTACATTGACAGCTCAGTCAGTCCAGCTGGCTTGGTTTGACTTTCACAAATGGGCACAATGGCACTGGATGTTTTAAATCCAGCGAGAAAGGAGCAAAGAAGTCTCTGTAGTTCAGGGAGCATCTTAAAGTATTATTCAGAAAACTTGACAGTCACATGCTTGAAATTGAACTGAACTGTGATTCCAGTGGGTTTTCTTGCATGGTTAAAGCCTGGTACATGCCCAAGAACTCTCCCGAGTGAAGAACCCAACTGGATGCTTTTATGCTGTTGAGACGGGTCTGGACATGCAAGCCTGAGGTAATAAACATAAAAGCAAGAGTGTGTCAGAGGGAAGCTGACTGGCTCAGCTGTAGCAGAGCACCTCACCTATTAGGCTGAAAGGTAGAGAGGATGGTATACTATGCTGTTGGGGGCTGATTCCAGATTGTGGTAACACCAGCTTTGCATTTCCTTGAAAGAGCTTCTCAAAGCACCTAACCATATATTTTTATTTCAGATACCTTTGGGGGGCTTGATGACCATAATTTTTATACCCTCTGTTCTCTGACAGCCAACTTCGTACTGGTAAAAGTTACCATTAACAGATGACTGGCAGAGAAGGAGACTGAGAGTCTCCTGCAGGACTCCAGACAGCCTGTGCACTGCTGGCTCTAACAGGAGTGTTCATGTCTTGCCCAATGGCCACATGCCCTTTGGTGAACGGTACAGAGATCACTTAGCATTGCTCCCACTTCAATTAAGATAAATGTCTCTTACCTCCATAATTTCATTATTTTTAATCAGGAGTGACTCTGCACCTCCATAATAAAGATACTGCATAACCAGCTGTAATAAAACAAAGGAAGGGTTTATAAAATGCAATCCAAGACATCAGGGAATAGGGAGTGATGTAAAGATTGCAGGCAATACCTAAGGCTCTCCAGCACCACCAAGGATTTGTAAATAAAACCAGCCCAAACCTCCCGATTTCAAGATATATTTTGTTACTCTCTCTCTGGAAGTACATCACTGATTCAGGAAAACGTAGCATATATAATGGTTATTCCCTTACTCCTTTCCTGGCAATGTCACCCCCACCTTCACCCAGCTGTGTGTGGGCATGCACGGATGATGAGAAAGAGTGGGGGAGGCTCTGCATTGTAATACAAGCCAGCTAAGATCCCTCTGCAGTGAGCTTCCAGCAAGCCTAAAGTTACTGTAGACAGCTGGGAATTATCTGCAGCAGCAGCAGTCGATACACGGAACTGTCTGAGCTCTGACTCAAATAGAGGGAAGCATATACATTTATATGCTTTGGCTACAGAAAGAAAGCTCTGTATTTTCATGGCAAAAAATTGACTGAACAATACTGCTAAGGTACAGAATAAACTGCTTCTCTTGCAAGTCTGTCCATTAAATACAGAAAGAGCCAGCAAGATAAAAAAGAGTCAGGTGCTTTACCTTGATATGCTCTGCTTTGTCTGCACAGCCCATATACATGCTGTTGAATCTGGTTGGGCACAACATTTGCAGTCAGTAGCACTCGGCAGCTTAGAGCATAAACAGAGGTGAAACCTGTGCTCATGAAACCACTACTCTGAGCTATGTGTTTTCTAAATACATACGTACTAATTTGGACAGGGCATGTACAATGTTCCTATTACATGTTCCATTCAAATTCAATGTGAGAACTGACTTTACCTGAAAGATGGGGTACTTCACATAGTTGATCTCAATACAAGTACTATCAGACGCAGGCTTGCTAGACAGCAGTGCTTTAAACCTAGATAAAAAGGAGCACGATTGAAATACCAGCCCAATTATCTCTGTGAAAAGGCACAGTGAAGTGGAAGGACAGCATCAGCTCTTACAAATACAGTACACTGAAATGAATGGATTTGTCACTAAAACACATCAAGATTTAGACACTGACATGAAGTTCAAACAAAAAGGAAGATGCCACTCTTTCAGGAGATTTCAATCTGAGATTTTGGAACAATACATCTAATACCACAACAAAATAAAATGTACATAAGAAATTTGGATTCTCTAATGGTGCATATTACAAAACCAAAACCATTGTTTTCTTTCCCTCTCGCCCCTTGGAGGCAACATGATCTTTTAGGAAGACATGCAACATTTAAAAACAGCACACCTTCTTTCTTTGAAGGACATAAATTTTGGCCTATGTTCATTATGCTGCTTTAAAAAAAGTGGTTTGGAAAAAAATATTAAAGCAGCTACACTAAGACTTTTCATGCTACATATATGTAGGCTCAGTACACTTGTGTAAGAGGCAGGAGAGAAAACTGGACAAGTTGCTGTTCTCTGATTATCAAAACCTGAAATTCAGACACAAGTTTCTGGAGAAAACCCCACATTCTAAGTTAATAATTGCAGACTTATGTGAGACATATCTGTATGTAGCAATCTATTTCTCAAAACCAGATATTCCCATTGATCAGAAGACAAAAATAGGAAATATGCTGTCAGAAACATCTGCCCTTGTACTTCTTCTTTTTGGTAATTCACCTGACCTTCCAAGAGTAGTGCAAAGCTTGGCTTATCTATCAAGACCAGCATTTGCTGGATGGTAACCTTTTCCACATCATGACTGCATCTTGTTAATTAACATACAGATAACAATTGATTTGCTTTTACTAGTGTCAAACTCTATTATGAACACAGTTTAGTAGGTTTAAAGCTGGAGTTTGGAACATGTTTGTACCTCTACAAATAAGCTCCAAACCAAAACACCCATTTCTTAATAGAAGGCAGAGTTAGATAATGCAGTTGCTTTCTGCAGATCTCGTTACTCTGTGGTGTGGGTTGGCAGCACGACTAGCATCAGTTCCCACAGTAGCTCAACTCCCAAACTCAGTGGCTTGTCCTTGCCACATCTTGAAATAAGCTGCTATGGAGGACCAGCTAAAGTTGTTTCAAAGCACACCTTTAATTATAAAGCTGCATACAAATAAGGTTTGGGTTGTGCTGGGTATCCCATGTCCCGCCTTCTGAGCACAGGGAACGGACGATAAATACTGTCTTTGGATACAGTATGATACGTTTCACAGTTACTCAGTTTTATTTTAAAAGGGTCAAATGCTGTCAATGAAAGCAGTGATAGGAGTTAGTTTTTGATGGAGACTGCTTACACCGATGCAAGGCAGGATTTAGCCACAAGGCAGGATTTAGGCAGGATTTAGCCACAGGATAAATCATTAGCAATAAAAATATTAAGAGGCTCCTCTACGATCAAGAGGTGGATGCAGCAACGAGCTCCATGCAAATGCGCCTCAGTGGAATGAAGTCAGATGCATGGCCAGAAGCATGGATGATTTACTGGGTAGTAACCAAGTGATAGCAGGGCTTGTTAAGCACCCTGTAGATCAACAAGAAACAAGCTGTTGAGATGTTCTTCGTAGGAAAAACTTGAAGGCTGGGCCACTAACCTTCAAAGAATCTTAACATAAAAGAACAAAACAGAACAACACCCCCCCCCCCCCAACCACCTACAAAAGAAACCCAAACACCCCAACAAAACCAAACCACAAAATTAGATTTTTCGTTACAAAATCAGAAATGCCTCTTTATTTTACCTTGGTGATGCAGTAAACAGCAACACTCTATGTGCATAAAATGGTCTTCCTTCCACCAGAAATGTAACATCTGACATCTCTTTGTTGTTAAGAAAATGGGGATCTAGAATCACAAAAAGAATAAAAAAAAAAAAAAAAAGCCAATAACTTTGGTTTGAAGAGGTCATGAATGTACAGAATATTATCCTGGTTTGATAAAGATGACAATAGCGTGACAAGATATTGTTTTTAATTAAAGAGTAAAGCCTATGAAGCTGTTGTGGACAGCCTGAGACCCCAGACAGCCACATGGAGTTCAGATGAAGAGAATTCAAAGCTTTGAAGTCTGTGAGGACCTTTGCTGACAGCCAGCCATCCCCACCAAGGGGAGCTGGCACAGCCTCCCAGCTCTGCTACCCAAAGTAAACTACAGCTGAATGGATGCTGGAGGGCCCTATGGTTATTTATACCGTTATACCCCTCTCCCTGTGTGGGGAAGTCCTTCTGCCCAGGGGAGGGGTCCTGGAAAACCTCTCCGGTCTTCTCTTGGTCACATTAAAATGACCTGGGCTCTGTCTGCAGGCAAGGAGGGCTGTACTAGCCTGGCATCACCCACAGCCAGCCACAGCATTTTTGTATGTGGGCAGACATTTGGCTCCAAGCTTAGATTCCAGCCTAGTTATCAACACAGACAAATCTTTGCAGATTTATGGTCCCACTCTAACACATCTGATGACCCTCTTGATTTCAGTGGGAGTTTCAGGTCATGCTAAGTCGGGGGCCCTTTTTCTAGTTCTGCCTTTCAGATTCAGGTTTTCCTTTGACTCATGCCCACCCGGCACACAGCCAGGACACAGACTTCCCACAGCTCTCCTTTGAGAACCAACAAGCACTTTCAAGCTATGCTTACCAAGGCGAGAGGTCTGCTTGCGCTTAATTTCAACAAGCTTCGGAATAGGGTAGGGTCCATAGCAATGAGTGAAAATGACAGAGAGCTGCTGGCTGATCACTTCATTCTAAGCGAAAGAAAACAGATATATGCAATTTAAGCTCATTGTGCAAAGGAACATCAGTATGCCAAGGACATGTTACATTGCTCTCAAGAATTGCCTGTTTTGAGGCTGAAGAATGTGATTGCTGAAGCTTTATTAAAAATCAGATCTTAGGATTATCAGTATTTATTAGAAATGACAATTCTCATTTACTTGATTGCTGTGTCTCCTATGAGAATCAGTTAAAATGGAAAGTCCTCTCCTTGGACCAGAGGTCTTAATTTCTAAAGAGCTCCATAGCTCCTGTTCCTTCCATAGAAACAAATCTCCCTTACAATAGTGATTTCATTTTATTTGCAGGCTTGATGTACTGGAAAATGACTTTTTGTCACTCTCTAGAAAATGGTCATCGATTGTGTTTTAGAAAACCAGAGCTACAAACAGATACAGCTGTCCAGCCTGCATGCACTTCTAGAAGCAACCATCTCACAAACAGACCCTCCCCTACAAAGTGACCAAAGCATCACAGTCTGCTACTGCATCTCTCCTCATTCATTCCCAAATGTTTCGTTAATGTGCTCTTACAACACTAGCACTAGCCTGGGCATCACTGTCCTAAGGAAGCCATGAGACCATAACAGAACCAAGTCTGGATCCTGACTGTGTGCATTTGTTCCAAGACTCTAAGGGTACACCCATGGGACACTTTGCTAAGTGCTAAGCAACTTGAGTGTTCATATGCCTAAGCTGCAAGGATAGTGAAATGGATTTAGTGCTTAACTACCAAAGTCACAGCTGAAAGCAGGATTTAAAAGCTTTGGCAAATTCTTCCTCATGCTTTGCTGATAACAGAGGCAGGTCTAGCCAAGTTCAATGGTGCCACATGATGACATCTTTTAACTATGCTCTTGGTCGGTGATTCCGTTCCACACCAGGAAATTGAAGAGGCAAAGGTAGATATGAGAGGGTTCAAAGCCAAGGAAATAAGCAGGTGAGGGACAAAACATTCTAAATCTTAATAGAAAAATATGAGGAGTGTAGATGTTATACTAAAAATATCTCCATGCTTATAGAGTAGAAATTGAAGCTTTCCCTTCTCTGAGCACATTTCAGCTCAGTTTTAACAGTGATGATTCTCCTTAAATCCCACAAGAGACAAGGAGGAGCAGCAGAGATCTTGTAATGACTCCCTCACCACGTCTAATCAGATGGGGTGGGAAAGGGTAGCTTTGTCCTCACAGGCACAGGCTGATGTCAAAGGAAATTACACACGTTTGCCTGCAGGCGGGAGTTGGCTCCTATTCCTAAAATGCAGCATTGAAAGAAACGGTAAGATAAGAGAAACACTGATACTAAGAGACACCATTTAGCACTGTGCAGAGACCAGCCCTCAGAGAGGGTCTCACCACTGTGGCTCCAAGACAAGGAGGATGTCTCACTCTGGGGGCATCTCTCTGTTCAGCATCTTCCAGCCGGAGCTCTGCAAAATGCTTCACAAAGGGAATGAATCACAGGGCAAAGAGAAAAGGAAGGTTTAAGGCCAGATTTAAAGAAGGAAGTGACTCAGCTGCCAGGAGGGCTGGCTGGGAGAGCTCTAGACAGACAGGGCAGAAAGAGCAATTGCTTCTCTGCTTGGAAGGGCTGTGCTGAAGCGCTGTGGCTGACTGAGTCAGTCAGGGAGGAGTGTGTCTGGGGGGATGTTGATTACCAGCAGGGCAGCTCCCAGTTGGATCCAGCAGATGCTAAGAAGTCAGTAAATGCAAGAAAGGATGGGGATAATTCTGTGGTTCACAGCAGAGGGACACTTCTGGAGAGGAGAAGCGTAATTGGAAGAGCAATGCTAACCTTTACCCGTGGTGAATAAAGCAGAGTAACTGCACTGAAGAGGATAGCTACTGGCAGCTCCCTCTCGAAACCGCCAGGGTGCACAGGTCCTGTCTATGCCACTGAGGTTTTAGTGGGTCCATGAACTCACCAGTCACAGCCACAGCTGTGCTTGGGCAGTAGCTTTTTAAAAAGGCACAAATTCATCAATAAAGACAACCCATCTCCTCCTTCTGGGGTGCCTGTGGGAATGCACTGATGGAGTACTTGGGTATCGACTTCCCAGCACCTCATTAGGAGCCAGAGGTCTCACTCACCAGTCTGAGCTATGGCACCACGTGCCAGGATGTCCTGATGCACCGAGACCAGGGAAAAATGGGCAAAACCCAGTCACCCAGGTGGGTGAAGATCCCTACTCACAACTCCAACCAACGTGATGAACCCCATGGGAGCCTGCCTATGTAAGCAAGGTGCTGCCAGCTCCCTAGGTCACCATCAGGGCATGAACCCTGTGGTGTGCAGACACGAGCCCATTATAAAGTCCATTATAAAGCCACCTTGCCACTGACTGCCCACAAGTCTGTGAAAAACACAGTGCAGACAGCTCAGATTATCTCAAGATGTGATACACTCACATAAGAGATGCTTAAAAACCTCGAGAAAAGAGACCTTAGGACTGGCACATCAAAGAAAGGGAGGCCATCAGGCAGACAGTGGCTCGATGCGCTGCGGAACTTCAGACCTCCAGTGCAGGACTCTGATCTCATTTGGCAGAGAGGAGGTTTGGAGACCTTTGGCTTGTGTCGATAACATTAAATACTTACAACGCATGCCACTGAAAGGCTAAAAAGTGTGCTTGTCTAGCAAGCTCATTTAGAGCCATCGCTAACAAACAGCAGCAAGTTTTCTCCCTGAGACACAGGGAGGGGAGTGGTGAGCTATTACAGCACAGCAAGCTCGCCTCCCACACCACCCCACATGCAGCCAAGCTTACAGGGCTGTGGCTCTGGATCTGCTCCCCAGAGAGCCGCTGATGGGTTTTACCAAAAAACCAGGCAGAAAGAGGCAGCAAAGAGGAAAGCAATGCTTTGCTTGTCACTACATTGCTGGGGAAAAATCTGGCTTTTTAAAGCCAAATCCTGCTGTTAGAACAGGCTGAGCTGGGATGCCTATGAAGTAACTGGGAACAAATGCATGAGTCCATGACCTGGAGCACCAGCATTGCTCTAGCGGAGAGGATGACATGTCCAGCCTATTCAACCTTCCCCTTTGCACAGTGCCCACACTGGGAAGCTCAGATGATGCCCTGGTTAACACATCCATCCTGTTTAAGCACGGAGCTGAATAATTCCTCCTCTTTTATCCTATCAGCCTACCAGCTGACTGTGAAAGAACAGCTGTAAGAGCTTGCTGCAGCAGTTGTGGGTGGCGATATTAACACCAAAGTTTGTTTTCTTGCTACAGTTTGATGTTGGAAAACACTGTGCCAGGATGTGAGAGGCTGAGATCTGGAGCAAAGCCAGGTTCCTTTCAGACATGGGCGTTCACACACAAAGTGAGCTGATGCGCATATTCTGCTGTAGGAGGGGGAAGAAAACCTGGCATAGGATATAATAACAGTATTTACCTAGCCATAGGGGTAGTTTACAGATAGGCGAGAGGGAACAGGGAACAACAGTGAATCTTCTGAGGGAGATGGTGCTTCCAGGAGAGGGTTGGTTGGTGAGCAAGCAACTTTGCTTTGTAGATACGAGCGGTCTCCTGACTTAAAAGCGTTCTTCAGCAGAGATCTAAAGGAATTCCCCCGCTCCTGGTGAATGCACTTGAACTGTGAGGGGAATTCTTCTGCAGCAAAGCTGAAGGTTTTCAAGTTGCTGGAGCAGAGATGAGTGGATGATTGATCTGAAAAGAGGTGAAGACCTCCATGGGGAGTGCAGGGCTGTTTTTTCTTGAATGTCCATCTGATGAAAGTCTGTGGCAGGACTCAGGAAAGGCTCCTCCAGACTTCAGCACATACTCTGGGAGAGCTTGCTCCATTTCAGCTTACCCAGTTCAACCCAGCCTAGCCATTCTGGGACATGGACCTACAAGGTACGAGACACAGCTGGGAAATACATAGCCAGCTCTGTCCAGTACCTCTGGAAGGTACATGTCATCTTGGTGGCTATGCTCCAAACTCAAAGGAAGAAGTCTGGTAGGATTCACCAGTTAGACTAAGCTTTTACTCTTCTCTGATCACACTGTGCTTCACTTGCCTCTTTGTCATAGGCTTCCCCACTCCCACATCGTATCTCTCTGGATCACTCAAAACCCATACCCATTAGTTCCCCTTACTGGCTTACAGATATCCCACCACCTCCACGTTGGTGCCCTCTGCAGAGGTAACAAGTCAGGCTGCTTTGCTTTGCTTCTCAAATCCCAAGCAGTACTTTGAGTTTTCCTTCCATTGATGTTACCCTCACCAGCTCCGCCCCATTAATGCTGTTTTAACCTAAGTGTGCCAGGCCCTCAAATTCCTCTACCACAAAGCCTCAAAACCAAAAGCTCACCACATTAGGCAGAAAGGTAAAACACTTACTGTTCTGGGCCTGGTGTCTGCCTCTTAATACACATGTCCCCAGCAAGCAGAGAAGCCACACTGTTCATAGAACAGGGGTGCTGTCAAAACCATCCCCTGAACCTTTTCCATCCTTGCCCAGGTGTTTCCACTACAGTCCTCTGGCACAACTCACTTTTGTCAGCTGCCTCAAAACGCATTAAATGCCACTTTAGAGGGTCACTCCTAGATGATTAAGTAGCATACACATAATTAATACTAGTCAACAGCTGCAAAGGTAGGGAAGCCCCAGAGGTTGGAGATACAGTTAGAGGCAGTGAACTGCACAACAAAATGGGTTTTGTTAGTGCCAGGCTCAAGTCCTTCCACTGCAAATACAAACGGAAAAGAATTAATCACAGGTAAGGCACAAATGGACCCTTCAGTTCGCTTCTGGGAAAGCTGCCAAGCCTCCCTTTCAAAAGGCTCTTTATATCACAGCTGTGCATTGTATGTAAAGAGCTCAGATCCCCAGGCACAGTCTAATCCCTGGGTGAGAGCCCAGAAAAGGGCAGGTGTCACATCCATGGCATTTATTTACTGTAAATGAAGAAACCGCTCCTGCCTCTGGCAGGGAATCATTTTAGAAGGCAGACAGAGGGTA